TAAATACTTTGGTAGATCCTTTATACCATTTAACTTGTGTTGCATTGCGGCAGTCAGTCACGCCTTTTACGTTTTGTATTCCTAAATCAGGCCCATGAAATCCTGTTTAAAATTTGCAATCCATAAATGGCATAAAAACGAAACGTTTATGAACGTCTTGGATAGATGATAATATCAATGTAAGTACAAATGCTGTATTTTTATAAAACAAATGATTGCTGACAAACAAAACTGTGTACCGAGAGTTTTATTATTGTATTCTAAATATTATTTTTCATTTGGATACACTTCGAAACAACAAAAAAATATATTTTTTTCATTTTTTTCCCTGAAAATGTTATTTCCAAAAATCGGGTTTTGTGAGTGATTATCACATAACAGTTTCATTTGGTAAGCTGCATTTTTCAATGTTTTTGAAATATTGAAATCTGGGTAACAAGTATTTTTATTAAACAACAAAATTGACGATTTTCCTTTAGGCGCTCATTTAAACAAAAAAAATCAAAGGCTATGAAAAGTCAAATTCACATGGTGTTTATATATCAGCTCATCTGACTTACGTTAATGTTTCTAATTTGAAAACACACTTTGACATGATGAGTGCATACGTGCATAAGTAATTTGTTATGCATTACTTAATCATATTCTAGCTACCATATACTTCAGTGAATAATATTTATAAGTGGGACATTGGAATATGTTTTCTTCATTACCTACGTATCGGTTTCATTTGTTTTCCAAGAACAAACTTTTCTGTATACATGCATTTTCTTCTGTCATTTCAAGTTATATGTTTTCGTCTTTGCTTCGAGTAAGCTTTCATCGTAACAACTTTTGCATACTATTAGATTGAATAAACTTAATGACAAATGTCAATTCCTCATTAAACAAATGGATGGATTATACAATTCGTTGTTCAAATTATCGCTACCAATTACACTAATATAAGAATTCAAATTTACTTTTTTGGCAAATGTAATAAAAGTATTTTTCACAAGATGACGCAGTCCACTGATACGTTTCTTTGCCAACTGTCAAACAGTCTTCGTTAGAAAGCCAGTTGTTGGGTATCAAAACATTCAACGAACTAAACCTGATACAACAGACACTTAGTAAACTCTGTTTTATAAATTATCAGAGTAATTTTTGTACATGCAATCAATTTTTAAATTTAGTAAAACAAATGGTATAGCCTAGAATTTAGGCAGTACACCTCAATTTTAAATATTTAATGGCCAAAGAATAAATCTTGATAAATTGATTAATTTTAGTGAAATAACCATACAAAAATATTTAACATTTGCTAGTCCATAGGTTTACATTGCTCACAGATACAATAACGAAACCGGTTAATCCCAGACAATTAACTCTTGTTTTGGGTAAAAGTCTGTTAACACGAGTAACGAGTAAAGTCGAGTCGTGAGTCACCCGTGTTTCGAGTTATGTCCAAGCCCGAAGTCGAGTAAATCTCTAAGGTATATGTAATTGGTGGTTAGATTTATTAATTAGATTACTCGAGTAATTCCGAACTATTGATGAATGGTGACTCAAATCCAAATTGGGTCAATTCTCTTCAGCACTGATATAGCTTCTCCAGAACTGAAATAGCGTTGATGTAATAGATCACTGATAAAAACTAAGAGCGCTGTTCTCATTTTTTTAATTGCGCAAGATAACTTAAACTAATGAACAAACCAGTTTTGATATCCCGTTTCTCCTTCCAATATTAAATCCGTACCATCGTGCCATTCCCATCTTCCTTTATTAGCTAAGTCGTTTCCACCGATATAAAGCCCGTTTCATTCTCTTTTATGATAAGAATATAATATTCCTAAAACTCGGGATTGTAATGAATCGTGTATAAGTAATATCAATGAAAATATCAGAAAACACTTTTTTGAACAGTCGAGTATAGGGTAAAAACCGCTATTCGAAAAGAAATCAGAAATAGTTAATAAATATATATTTAGATGTATATTGTAATTCGAAACATTACTTTTACTCCTCAATTTATTATAGGATATTGATCAGGCTATTCTGCGTGCCATGAGGTATATTTATAACATATACCAACGGTGCAAACCGCCGCTCGCCGGAGTTTCGTTGTTGCTCTTCCCGCTGGCTATAATATTGTATTATCCAAATTCAACCAAGAGAAACCGTATCGAAGCATTTTTTTTAAATTCATTAAGCGATTGAAAAGTATATACTTTGCAATATTGTTATTATACGTTTGTGTGAAGTTTTTTTTTCAGTCCACGGTATTCTAATATTATTAATTTCAAAAATTATGAAACTCGCACATATTTCTGACTTGCTCCATGCAGCTCTTGTACTAATAAATTTTGCCCACCCCTGACATTATGAAAACAAAATAATTTGGGGACCATAGTGATTTTGTTAGGTTTCTGTTTTTACAAAATTCATAAGATAATTAAAAAAATATAAATACAATATTTAAATAAATTAATAAAATTCAATTTTATTTTCATCAACTCATTCGAATGCTGAGTTAATAGCTTTCGTTATTCCTGGATTATCAACCTTAGCAAAGTAACCTCCCAATTCCTCACAGGGATATTTCGCTTCGATGAAAGTTCCACGTAGTTTAATTAAAGAAAAGCAGTTCAAACCCATCAACACATCTTTCCTTCTCAGAATCTGAAAATTCGAAACAGTTGTCAATTGCTTTTGAAATAGTTTTACATATTCATTTTAAAAGGTAATCGGCAACAATTTAGCACGGCAGTGCAAAAACTAATTAAATACAATAAAAAGTAGCTATTTAGCTACATTTCCTGATTGGGACATTCATACAATGTCTTGCAGATTAAAATAAAAATTTCCTGACTTCCTGTCATTGTCTGTATTTAAAAATAATCACTATTACCTTAGATAGAAAAGTGTTGCTAACACAGAAAAAGACAAATCAGAATTTTATCGCTTTTTTAGTTGAATAATGGACCAAATACTTTGAAAATTTCAGTGTTATTTCCTCGGTAGACAGCTCTCAAATATTTCTGTGATCTTTTGGGATTTATTTTTTGTGTGCTATGTCGTCATCAAACTTTCCGTACGCTGTGGCGCTTCCACGATCGCAAATCAGCAAATCTCGTTCTTAACGTAACTTGGAAGTTTTTATTGGGGAACGGTTGACTGTGGTACCTAAACTAGTAATAATGAATTGAATTGGGTCAGTTGCTATTTTTATTCACGTTGAAATTGAATCATGATGAATTATTCATCGTCAAAGCACCTGGAAAACCTATGACAGTCTCAGCACCGTTACCGGTACCATTGGTGGTCGTGTTGTCTCTGATGAATTGCCCGTGTGGTCGAGTTGTCATCCTCTCGATACGGATACTGGTTAATTACCGCATGCGATTTTCGAGAAATTGATGCTAAAATATTTAGTTTTGCTCTCTGTGTTCACATATTTGAGCATAGCTCTCCTATTTTACATTCAGATAAGATCTATCAAAACAAGCTTTCGCTCATCTCCGCAGTTATAAATTATATGAAAAGTGGGGAATAGGCATAATAGAGTCAAAAAGATGATTGATGAACTTCTTACATAACCGAAACAAATTATCATACAGTAAAATTCTATAATATCGATGAACCAATGTCCTAATCCTATTTTTAAAGTCCAAATATTTGGTCGATACACAACGACACGCAATATTTTGTAAATCTGAGAGAATTCCAACAAAAACAAAGATTTATAGACCGCGAAGGAAATTTCATTAAATAAAATCGCGTCATTCCTTACTCTGCCAGTCTTCGAAAATGTTGAGAAACAACCAGCGAGTTATTAGACACAAAATGTAAATATGAATCGTTTTTATTTTTATTATTATTTTGTTTTGTTAGAATTGTTTTTCTTGTTGTTATGCACAAATTGCATTTCTTTTCAACAACTAGATCAATTTCTTTGAAAGTTTCATTTTTGAAAGATTTATGTTATGCTAGGAGGCAATTACTTTTATTTATTTAAAAAATTTCTGCGGACTATGTGTTATTCATATTTTTGGTTTGACATGATGTCATCAAAATTTAAAATTGCATCTCGTGCCTGTTTTATGTTCACGTTAGCAATGGCGGCCATGCGCGAAAACTGCGGTACCCGAAATTTACTGTGACAGATTGCATAACCGTAATACTTCATTTTGAATTTTGTGTCAATATATTTAAGCATTGTGCTCTTTTTTCTTTTCTTGCGTTGTATTGTGCAATAGTTTAGAGTAAAGCCTGTCTCAGATAAGCCTTTGAAAAAACCTATTTCCCCGAAAACTAGATCTAGCCTTAAAATGATACCTAGCCTGAATTTTAAAAATGATTTTAACATAAGACCTTTTTTTATTTTTGGAAAACACGGTATTTGTCAATGTGACGCTATTCAACGTGCCACACGAGCCTCACATAATTAAAGGCCATTTTAAAAGTCGACACAATTGAATAATAATTCTTGCATTTGACCTAAATATCGCAAAAAATACAAATATTGTATACTTTATTTGATAATTGTGGCTATTATATACATCGATAAATTGTGGGCTTTCCTTACACTATATATTTTACCTCAAATCTTTCCAAATTGAATGAATTGCCGTAAAAACGGTTTAATTAATTTGATTGGAATTTTTCGTGGATTGGAAAGGCGATGAGAATTCTGAATATCTGACAAATTCTAATCTATCAGATTCTTTCATGTCACTCGTGCCTGCCAATTCCAACTGAGGGCGCCAGAAAAGATACGTCATACCGTTTATAGAGTCCACGATTTCTGAACTACTTTATAAGCAGGGAAATGTTCCGAAATTCGAGACAATCCTGAATGCCTGTACCTAAATTTCAGCTCAAAGCCCTATGAGAGTTACACCTATATTAATAAATTACAATAATTGTGACCAATGCAATATTATTTATTATATTTACACAAATTATTACACAAAAAAGGAATAGCCATAATTTACAAAATAAGAGCCTATTTGCAAATATTCAATGCAATAATATATTTTCTCCGTATTTTATTGCCTTATATTTAAACAATCACCAAAAAAACAAGAAAAACTATTATTTAAACCAAGCTTCGTCATTATGATAATAGTGGGACATTGGAGAAATGTTCTCAATCATTTAGTAGAATTAATATATTTCGTCTGAGCTAGGACATTTGCCAATAAATAAATAGGCATGTTAAATAACTTTACTTTTATGTTTTTATATTTTAGGGGACATTGCAAGACAAAAAATTATATTGTCGCCTTTCATTTTACCGAGCTTAGTTCTATTTTAACGATGCAGCTGGGTTGCAAAATTCAAATTTTTGGTTACAAAAAAATAAGAAAGAAAAAGAATAATTTGAATACGTAATAGAAAAAGATGAAGTTATGATAATATAAATAACCATATAAACTATAACAGTTAGAATAGTTAGACGGTTATATAATTGAAGCATTGTTATTGTTGTTCTTACGGCAGATTGAGGAATAATAAAAATAGGCTTTTTCATATTAATGTTTTATGTTAAACAACTATAAATCTAACAACTATATTTGGTTAAGGGGATTGGCAGAGAGACCCTGCAGCCTCATTATGTGCTGCATAATTTAACAGTCCTTCTTCAGCTTTGGGATTTTTATCAAATGTAACCACTATGTTTGTATTTTCAGAAACTTTTACAGGATAATTTTTGGGCCATTCAAGGGCGAGATTGTGACTGGTGTTTCCATAAGTAAGCTTTATTTGATCATTCTGTAAAAAAATTAATTTGTAAATAATTTTTTTTGTTTTAAATATTTTGGTGTTCGGTTGCAACATTGTGTACGCTCAACGTACCAAACAAAGGCTTTTTTATTACTTCTCGTGAGATTTACAGAGAATATTCTTTTACACGTTTGTTTGCCTAATCAGCTTATGGTGTCTCCCAAAATCACGTTCATGCATATGGACATATTACCTGGCTAACGATTGCAATATATGTATAAAATAAATAGTGGTCGTGGTTTCTTCATATTTTAATCTTTTTATTTGTCTCTTTGTAAATCTTCTAATATTTCTAATGAACATATATTATTTTATTTCTCACTTCATACGTCATTCCAGTCCAAAGATGTATGTTAACTTGGTCATGATTTGGAAGTATGTTTTGGAGTACATATTGTTTAGTTTCATTATAGTGAAGTTCATCATAAATATTTGCCAAATGCATTCCATTATTCTCGCAAAGCCCTTTTCCTGCTGCAAACGCAATGTTTGACGAAAGAATCACTCGAAACCTTTTTTCTTTGTAGGTAAAATAACAATCTGAATTAAAGTATAAACCGTAGTGAATCAAATTTTATAAATTAATGAAAAAATGAATAAAATCAATTGTAACTAGTATACTAATATCAGGCCCAAAAGTTTTGTTTTTGTTTCTATGTTTTAAGCTTGAAAAAATTGGTTAGGTATCTGCCAAATGAAGAGGCCCAAGATTTTTTAAATCTCACCCAACACAGCCGTTTGTCATATATATAGTATGGTTAATGCTTAGTCCAATTCTAAAAGGTAATATTGGTATTTTACAGTTTATGTTCTATAGTAGAGTCATATATTTCACGAAAAAGGGATGACTGTTCTATAAATAGCATCGATTTCAAAATCACCAGTCAGACATCTAAAATCGGTGACGTGACTCAGACGGGATATGAAATACAATTACCTCCCTTATAATGGCTTAGTATTGGTTTATCATGTATTTTCATTCATACATTCCATCCATGGCTTAGTGATGTTTTGACAAATATGATTTCGACTGCACCATACTTGGTGTAGGTATAGAGAATTTTCAACGGTGGAAAAAACGTAAAATTAATGGCAATTTAGACGCGTAACGGCGCGCATTAGGATGTTTACGTCTTTCTACGCGCATTTCCGTCAAAAAAAGTAACATTTTTTGCATTGAGGGTGGCCTGTGCAGTTATATTTAGAGGTGTGACGTGATCAAAATTGTCAATTGAAGCGTTGAACTTGATAATTCTGTAAATACAATCATGAATTTTAGAGTAACCATTCTTGCTATAATAGTGGTTTTGGTGTTGTTCTGTTGGAAAATAACACAAGAAAATGTTGAAATAACAATTAATTAATTACAAATAATTATTAACCCTCTACTAGACACTAAATCTCGCAAGTTCAAGATTGTTCAATAGAAATTTTGAAATTTTTGTTATAAAAAAAAATATTATTAGAGGAGTGTGTTTTAAACATACATTGCTGAATAGAACTCCAGCACACGCTATTAAAAAGTCATGAGTGAAGCTTTAGGGCTTAATGGTTGAAAAACAATATTTTAAAAATAACCCATGTAAAATGGCCCCAGAGCGACCGGTTGGCAAGGGATTTATCAGTAAACTCGAAACTCATATAGAACATAGGCGTGGTACATATTACATACAAGATAATTCAGAACCATAACAAACACAATGCATGAAATTGCTAACCTGGTAACGTTGTAAGGTTAACTGTGGTTTGGGTTGAATCAGTTGATGTTTCCATAGTTGATGTTCCCCGGGATGGAGTGGTCGTGACAAATTTTTCAGTTGTTATAGGGAAAGTCATAACACTAGAGTTTGTTTGTTTGTAGGCTTTGGTTAAAGGTTTAGTAGAGTGAGCAGTGGATTGACGGTGTCGTTTGGTTGTCGTCTTGATTGGAGCATTTGTTGGAGTGACCAATCTCTTAGTCACATGTGGTTTTATCAATGTAGATTGAACGTTCACCTCACTTTGTAACAAGTTCGGATACTTCTTCAAAAGAGAAGTGAACTTTTCTTCGAGTTGCATTTTCAAATCTCAAAAATAATAATTTATTTTGGTTTTTAAGCTCAAATATGAAAAGCAGGAGAATGGGACTAGCATAAAAATAGAGGTAAAGTTAAAGTTAAAGCTCAATTCACAGACAACAAATCAAATTGAAGATTTCAACATTTCTAATGTATACAACTTTTGATTTTGTGAGAAAATAGATACCCAATTTTGAATTTACAATCCTAGATAGTTAGAGAGGTGATAATACAAGAATGGCTAATTCAATAAATATCAAACATACAAACAACACGAAAAATAGTCAGCGGTGCTGCAGCATTATTTTTCCAATTAATTAATTTTAATTTTTATGATCTATTGGTAAATTTTTTGACGTTAACAGTTGTCCATGTAAATAAAAATTAATGAAACAAAACCATACAGAGCTAGATAGCCTACATATACCACACATATTTTACTGTTTTATTATCTTCGAAATGTAAACAGCACAAAAGAACGAAACAGTAATTTAAGTTTTATAGCTCACCAACTTTGCTTTCAAACTGAAATAAAAGGTTTCAAATGTTGAATGTTGATAAATTGTTCAAATACTTGAATAATAATACATTTACCACTTTTTCAGTATGAAGTTATGTTTAAAGAGAGCAGCCTAAATATTTATATATTGGTAATACTAAGCTGTTTTAAGTGACTAGTATTGTTCAATTTTCAATTCAATTTTTGTTGATAAATGAATAATTTAAACGAGCTGTAGCTATCGATGTGTAACGAATTGATCTTTACATTCCTATAAGTAAACTAAGTTTGTTTTAGTTTGTTGCAAACAAATTAACAACTTAACAATTAGATATCAGTATTTACCACAATTTCGAACTCTGCACTATGCCCGTCGCATGACTCATCCAAATTGGTTACGGCTGTGAAAACAATAATAATTTGTCAACACAAGGTAGTTTTATCAGTACACTATATCAGTGGTTCTCAACCGCCGGTCCGCGGACCGGTGCCGGTCCGCGGCAACCTTGCTCCCGGTCCGCCAAATATATTCCAATATTAATATATTATAAGCAAATGGCAAAATACAGAGTATTGACGGCATGTCCGTTAATTTTGTGATTTTTTAATTCTTAATAATTCGTCTTAAGTTATTCGTCTAACTGTTATTAGAGTCTCAGACTCTAACAACCAAACTTGGTGAGCTGTCCTTTGCCCATTTCAAGTCCTGAACGGCTGTATGTTCGTTGATTCTATGTCCTCATAACGGCGACTAGCGTCATAACGGAGGAGTTTGATAGCACATATATATCGTGTTTCCCCGAAAATAAGACGGGGGATGTCTTATATTTTTATTTATCAAAAACAAAATTCAAAAGTAGAGAATTACGAGAATTTCAAAATATATATATCAAAATATGAAAACCGATATCCATTTACCAATAAATACCACGTTTTTATTCAAAACAACTGCGAAACATAGTTTATCAATCACTTAAAACGTGTACGAGATATTTCTTGCTATCGACTAGGTCAAAAACAAAATCTCGCGTTATTGACTAGGTCTTATTTTCAGGAGAGGGTTTATATTAAAATCATTTTTAAAATTCAAAATTTTAGAAATACTCTTATTTTCATGGTATGTCTCATTTTCGGGGAAACACTGTAGTACGGTAACTGATCGAGAACTTCGCAGTTCGCACGTTTTGTAATTTGACAGTAGGCTTGTAATTTAGCGAGGTTTGATGGTAAAACGGAAGCAAACAAACAACAAAGTATTATTCAGTTCTTTCAAAAGAAATCCATCGGTGAAAACCAAGTTAGTGGTGTTGACAGGAAGAAGAAGATACTGCTAATTCAACATTACAACATACCCCGAAACGACCTTGCAGCAAAATTGATATGGATCTCGCGGAAACAAGCAAATAACGAAGGAAATATTTTATTGGACACTATGATAAGTATTTGGAGCTAAGTTTCACTATTGCTCCCGGCAGCAAAAAAGTACCTATGTGCCTATAGTCTGCGTCAAAATTCTTTCAAACGACGCAATGAAACCCGCAAAGCTATAACGGAATCGCGTGGAAGTCAACGCTTTACTTTGCCTTGCAGAAAGTTCATTAGAACCACCAACACGTATAATAACAAAAAGACAGCAGCGAATAATTTGCATTAAAATTATGCAAAAGTTATAAGCGGTTCAGATTATTATCTTGAAACTCACCCACATATGTCCAATGAAGTAGAAATAGTACAAAGAAGATGAATGTACCCATTCGTACTTTCTCTGGCTTAAAAAACGGCCTAGATCTGTCGTTTGCAGCGCGAAGCCCCAATGCTGTACTGACGAAGTAAAAACCAATGCACAAATGACTTTTTACCATACCCATCAGAACTAATAAACGACAGGATGCGTCAGAGAGTTCTTTGAACTAAATGCCTACGCGTGTTTTCAATCGATTCACATTAAAGCCGGGGATAATGGTACGACAAATATTGTGAGATTTTATTAGTGAATGCATGGCCTAACTTGACCAAGGAAATGCGTGTGCTATCAATGAATCATTAGTAATTTCCTCATGTGGTGCACAACATTATGGATGCTTCCGAAGTTAACAGGTTGACATTTGACACCAAAAGCATTTATTTTGAATATATGAATGCGTCACTGTTAACTGTCATGTTAACAATGTCCAACTTTACATAATACTTCATTTATACAAAATATAATCATGGTATAGCAATCATTACTTTACATTTTCAATGAAATGATTACCGATAAAATCGTGAAAGTAATCGAAGCTAATTATTATGTTATAGCTAAGTATTTCCCCCGGTGCTCTGTTAGACTTAGAAGAAGAATGGCTTGGATTATGGATGAATTATATACAAAAGAAAGTTGCACCTACGTGTAATTAATTAATAGGTAGATAGAAAAACACTACTACCAGAATATTTGAATCGGGTCATGTTTCCATACGATATCAAAACGTAATATCAAAACGAATTATTACAAGGCTATTTTCTTCATCACAAATGAATCAGAATGTAGTCAATTAATAAAAAACTAGATTATTTTAAATATACAATTTCTGATAGTGCACTTAATTTTTTTCCCCGTTATTTCATTTCTCATGAAATTAATAAACTAAAGATTTCCATAACTAAATTTGAATGCAGTACCGAACATATTTTTGTATTATTGAAGTATGATTGAAAAAGGTTCGGATTCCCTAAACCCAATGAGCCTACACATATTAAACTCAAACATCAATTTACCAAATGCTACATTATCGCAACCTATACCTCTAGAGCAGAGGTCGGCAACCTACGGCCCGCGGGATAACGTAATCCGCAACGCTTCACTGATTTACAGCGACAAAACGACGGTTTTGACGATGAATTAATTTAATATTCCACGCTCGAGAAATTGATTATATTCTTTACGTAACAGAAGTAATCGTAAGATTGTGGATGTGTAGATTAAATTATATTATAATCTAACAATTTAGTGAACAGCTAGCTACTCGTTTAACGAGCCTAAAAATTAATTATAACTACAGAAATAGCAACACGCAAAAAAGTTAATGATGAGTGCATAGGTTTTGATGGCCCAAAAAAGATTTGAATAGAGTTTCTTGAGATGCAATGCAAGGAGGAAATATAATCTATATTTTATTCGAGAAATATATCATTGCCTGATTTTTGTATCTTCTTGAAGGAAATCTCTATCCAAATTTTACCATTGATGCGAAATGTCACATCGATGTTTGGAAGTACCGAACAATTATTTTCGAAAATGAATTTTACTAAGAACAATCTGGGAACTCGGATGAGGGATGCGTACTTAGAACATTATCTAATATTGGCTTCATCCAGTGTGCCGCCTGATGTTGAAAAGCAATCAAGCGCGATGCAACAACATGTGTAAAATGTGTATTGAATTCATCCAAACATGAACCAATATGTGCTGGCACCCTACAGGTAAAACTTGAAAAAAAACAATGTCAAAAATTTATCTTTCCTTGACGAAAAAACTGAATTAGTTACCCCACGACTTATTAAAAGGGTAATCACAACAATTTATCAATGATTAACTTCAAAATTGAGGCATTCTTGATTTAGGATTATTAAGTTTATTAAGTTGATTTAATTTGTTTTACAAGGAAATAATGGAAAATCTATGTAAACAAAAGTGTAAAAAGGGCAGTTAATAACAAAAGAAGCAAAGAGTAAAAATGATAACAGTAAAAATACCACTACCTTTCAATTAAAAAAAAGAAGGCAATACTTTTTCATTATTACAGATAATCTGTTCTAAAATTTAGCAGTAAATAGTTGGAGTGTTCATAACTATGGTGGCCATTTGATTTCTAAGTCAAAACAGTATAATCTCAAGGCACAGTCAGAATTCATGGTGTTGATATACCTATCTGAACAAAGGTGTTTTTGAATGTTTGCTTAAAGATTAAGTCTGTTTGTTAACCCTACAATCTTTAAAGTACGGTCAATTTGTCTAAAAACATTTGTAAAAATCGGTCTATGTTTGTCGTTTGCAGCGTGATTTCGCAATGCTGTATTGACAAAGTATGTACCAAAGTACCCTTTTTTCATACCTATTAGGATTATTAAGCGACAGAATGCGTCAGAGAGTTCTTTGAACTAAATGCCTATGTGTGAGGTTTTATTTGTTCCACATTAAAGCCAGGGATAATATTACGATAAATATTGTTAACTTTTAATAGTAAATGCATGGCCTAACGTGATCAAGAAAATGTGTATGCAATCAATGCATGAATAGTAATTTCCTCATGTGGTGCGCAAAATTTAATGTTTCCGAAGATAACAGGTTGACATTTGACACTAAAAGCATTTATTCTGAATATGTGAATGCGTCAATTTTACCCGTTAGATTGATGATTCGATGAGCAGTCATCACCAGGAGGCTATTTTCACCATTTCAAATAAATCAGAAATTAGCCAACGAATGAAAAACCGAGTTCTTTTGAATATTCAATTTTTAATACTGCACTTTATTTTTCTCTCCGTTTATTACATCTTTTGAAAATTTATACAATATGAAGGAACTATTTGACTAAGCAGGAACATGGATATAGTTACGTTTCTCGTGAAATTGATAACCTAATAATTTTCATAACCAAATTTCAATTTTGCACAGAACACAGTTTGTACAAGTATGATCAGAGAAATGTCCAAATTACCAAAACCTCATTAGCTTACAAATAGAAAACTCAAACATAATTTTACCAAACTCCACTTTATCACATCTCATACCTATAAAAGCATGTTGAGACGGTACGCAGGTAGACTCACGCGAAAATCTGTATTTTTTATTAAATTCAGACCAACACAGACCAACGCAGCAGCACATTGCATGTAAAACTTAAAGAACGTTGTCGAAAAATGACTTAAAAAGTCTTGAAGATCGAAATGAATTAGGTACTCCACGACTTATTAAAAATCCACACCTTTTTACCAATGTTTAATTCTAAAATTAAAACGAGACCTGATTTAAGTTTATATTTGCTTTACAAATTTGGAACACATAAAGGAAATAATTGAAAAGCTATGTAAACAAAAGTGTAGAAAGTGGAATTCTAAACAAAAAATGAAAAGAGTAGAAATGATTGCATTAAAAAAGACCTTTAACTTTCAAAAAAAAAATAAGCGATAATTTTTCCTTATTACAAATATTTCGTTATGAAATTCAGCATTCAGTTATTGGAATTTTCGATTTTTATGTCGGTTTTCAGAGCTATGTGGGTCATTTTATTTCTAGGTCAAAACAATATAATGGGCATGGGCACAATCAAAATTCATAGTATTGATATACTTATTTATAACGAAGTTATTTCTATATTAAGTCTGTTAAGACTCACAATCAATTTGTTTGATCAGTGATCCGTCGTTTTTCATCACTATTTTTTTATTGTTTTTACGCCTATTATTTTTGTAAAACAATGACAACCAAGGCTCAAGTTTATATAATTTATAGATCCAACTACCATTTGCTTTTAGGCTTTATTAATAAATAGTAATTTTTATTCATTCACGAAAGTCCTAATAAGATTGTGTGATTCCATACAAGCCCATTTATATCATGTAAATTGAAAGGTTGTCTGGTGCAAACTTAAAAAATAAAAATCTACATAAGTAAAAACTAGCATTTGAAATTCAAACAGTTCAAAAAATATAGTTAATTGCAAAAAAACACCTTGAATTCGTATTTGGAATCCCTATATTGAAAGTCTTAATACGCAGGATCAGCATATGTACAACAGTTTTTAGGTGGTTCCAACCACAGCGTATACTAAACTGAGAGTACAGGATACTACAAGATAGGCAAACTAAATAGGTCAATACCGTTAAAGATACAGGATTATCTCAATCATGTGGTTGATATTAACACTATTATATATGTATTCTATAACTTTGAGATTTTAATTTCAGTATTTTTTTTAAAATCTATAATTAAAATACAAGATTGTTCGCTTCTTATCATTTTTTAAATCTACTTGTTTGAGAAAATTAGACAACTTCACAGAAATACATAAGTGTTAGTATGCAGCAGTCTATACTTTATATATGTATATATAGTATATCAAAATAGAATGTTGCGAGTTAGCACAAGAGCTTTTTGCAATTTTGGAATGTAGAATAATCATTTCAAGACATTGCACACAGAGACCCGTACCACGATTGAGAAGCTTCATAGTTCATAAGTCCTTGTGTAGTCGAGGATGAATCTGATTCAACGCGGATAACTATGTGTAACCTTAAATCAGTGTCTCGGGGAAAACCAGGGTACCATAGTACAGCAGGTATCGAAATTGTCTCGCCAGAATCAAGAAACACCTGATTGTCCTGTAAAAACAATAAAAATGGGAGATTTTGAAACTCATTATGTGATTTTTCACATTTATCCAATAAAATCAAGAGAAACAATAATTTATACGAGAAATTTACTGTTTTGGAATATTTTGGAAATACCATTTATATGACAAATAAAATAGATTGGAAAAATAATTACTATCTGGGTGGAGTCGATTACGCTTCAATTACATAATTTTAAATAATACTAATATGGGCATAATGCGCTAATTGCTATATTATTTGCTTCAATTTTTATTTATGGCAATTAGTCAAATTTATTTTGCAATATATCCAATTGCGTGTATATGACACATGATACGAATACTCGTAATGAAACATAGTTTGAATTAGTTCAATTAGCTAAATTGTTGGTTCCATGCATTTTAACAATTTTTAAATAGAATATAATTTTCCATTGCATTGATAACATTTTCGATTCAATATTTGATCAATACAAATACCCAAAATGGATTTTCTCATC